TTAAGTTTGGAAATGATGCCAAATTTTTGTATTTCTTTAATCAATGTGTTCTCTTCGGTGATATATATTGCATTATATATTGATGTGTGTATCAATATATACTGATATGTATTACACTTACACATACAAACACATAAATAAGAGGGGGTGAAAACCATAGCCTTTGCATTCTCTATAGCCTCTGCAGAGAGATCCTAAGCAGCGAAATCTTGGTGTTGTGATGTACAGAAATGGAGAAGAGTATTAAACCATATTTAAGAATATATTTTGTGTGCTTGAGATTTTTTAGGACTGTTCCTAGAAAAATCTGTGAACTGTGGAGACATTGTTGTGAGTTCTCCAAAGCAAATGTCAGATTAGTCACGGCTGAAACATTTTTGGCCTTAGATTTAAGTTGTTTTCACCACATTTGTCTTATGTCATGGTATATGCAAAGGATGTCTGAGGTCCCAATCCAAAGGTGTTAGAGGAGAGATTCGAGTTGCTAGGGCTAAAACTGATGTGGGGTTTTTTTGTCTGTCTTTTTGCAGTACTGGGGGTGGAATCCAGGCAGGGCCTTTGCACTGAGCTACATTCCCAGCCCTTTTTTTAAAATTTGGTGCGGGGGGGAAGATTTGAGACAGGGTCTTGCTGAATTGCCCAGGCTGGACTTAACCTTCTGATCCTCTTGCCTCCCAGAGTACTGAGATGATAGTTCGGGCCAAACTGATTTGCATGTCCTCCTATTCCACATACACTTCAAAAGGAAACCTTTTTTGTCTTTTAAAGATATTTCAGGTATTCCAGAGGTAGATGTTTAATAGGTGATTAGGGCTGGAAGTACAGCTCAATGAAAGAGATCTTACCTAGCATGTTTGAGATGCTGGGTTCTATCCCCAACATTACCAAAACTATTTTTTTTTAAATAATGAAACACCAAAATAGGTTAAGTAGCAGCTTAAAAGTGATAAAGCCAAAATTTTATCCCATGCCTAATTCAAAAGTTGATTCTAAATCTGTTTGCTTTTGAGGGGCCTTTCATTCCCCAATCCCCACCCTGTGTACCCTGTTCTGAGTAGGAGAATAACAGCACTATCGAAGAGCAAGGCCAGCCAGCCCAGGGGAGCAGGCTTCTGAGTCAGGTGAAAGCAGAGAAGATGTCTTCCTGTTGTTTTCTCGAGGTGCTTAGAATCTTCTACTTGGTAATTTAGGAAGCCTCATTCAGGAACGAGGGCAGTACTTTTTGTTTTGGCTTTTTGTCATTTTCTTTTTCAGCATACTTTTTCACTCATTTTCTCCTCTGATTCAGGAGATAGCCTGATGAAACCCATGCACCCTCTGGGAAGGGGCAGGCATGCCTATGCAGGCGAGGTATAAGTTTTCCTAGTGCATCCCTGGGTGATGTTCTTGAAGCCAAACTGTTGAAAGGTGGCACAGGAGGGCCGGATGTGTGGGGTGCAGCACTTGCCTGTCTGGGCCTGCAGTACTTGCCATCTTTTGTTCTCTAGCTGTAGTTCCCATGCCATGACGCTCCCAGACAGGCCCAGCAGATCCAGGGCCGAGTGCCAAGGTGGAATTTAACCCCCATGCCAGCTTGTCCCTTGTAGCCAACTTGAGTGAGTGCCAGCTGGGACTCCCATCTGCCAAGTCCCACTCTGATGGGACTTTGCCTCAAGGAACATAGGAACTGACCAGCCAAGAGGTACACAGGCCTTACACCAGAGCCAGTGAGTGGAGCAGGACACAGGGACTAGTTTTATTGCAGTCTGGGTGCCACAGGTCGCCAAGAATGTGGCTGAACTGGAGGTCCACATACAGATAGTTCAGCTGTAAGTCCAAGCCCTGTCTAGGTAAACTATTTCAAGTAGAGCCATCTCTGGGGGTCTTTCCAGAAACTTGCGTGGTACCCTCAGCTAAGCTTAGGACAAAAAGTTTTATTAGCGGCCAGGGTCTGGTTCTGCCATTAGTTGGGTTTGTAACTTCAGGTAAGTCCCTTTCTAGCCATTTTCCTATCAGTGTAATTTAAACCCTGAGACTGGGATTGAAAACCTGGCTTTAGGAGATTGACAGATCAACCCATGTCCTGTGCACCAGCTTTCCTATCTGAAATGATACTTCCTTTGTAAAGGCTAGAGAATGGCATGGAGTCCATTGTCCAGTGCCCGGCACAGAGTCAGGGCTCATGTGGGAGCTCCTAATATGATGGTTCCTCTACCACCAACCCTGGCGTCTTACAAAAAAAAAAGAGGCCAGGACAAGCTTGTCCTAATGACCACAAGGTGGTGCTGGACCACAAGGATACTGGCTACAGGGCATTTGTTTCACCGGAAAGCTGTTTTGTTTTTCCCCAGTGCTGCTGCGCTCTACCTCTGAGCTACATCCCCAGCCCTTTTTGAGATGGTCCTGCTAAGTTTCCCAGAAAGGTCTTTAACTTGAGATCCACCTGCCTCAGCCTCCTGAGTAGCTGAGACTACTGGCATGTAGCACCACAGCAAACTAGGAGGGCAGATTTCTGACAAGTATTAAAGGGAGCTTAGGACAGCTTGCTTTGCCCTTAAATTTTACAGAAATGGAGAGGGCAGTCTACCGAAGGAAGTAGGGATGAGTGAACAGAAGACAGTTTAGGAGTCATTCCAGTTCTGCCCAGTTTTCTTAGCACTCTGCAATCTGAGTTTTGAGCTATCTGTAAAATACCTATGGTCGCTGACATTTGTTGAATAGTTATGTGATCCTTGGAAAAACTTAATGAGGTAGATACTGTTTATATCTCCTTGTCCAAGTTCACAAGCTACTAAGTAGCAGAATCTGGGATTCAGATCTATTTGGTTCCCTGACTAGTGCAAATGCAGATCATTCCTCACTCAAAAGAGAAAACAGTTGCTAGCACGGGTTATAAGATAGGTAGACTTGCCTCATGGACCATAGATAACACTTTCAGAGACAACCAGCAGCTTGGGGTTGCATCTGGAAGGTGCCCATTAGCACTTCCGACCTCCCCTCCAACACATATTTTCACACTGCTCAGCCCAGTTTAGCCTCAGCCGTAGTTGAAGACGGACAGAAGGCGCTCCCAAGGACTCTCTGGAGAGGGCTCCTATAATTTATCCAACATCTTCACAGGGGAATGAACAAGCACAAGAGAATTTTTTAGATATGAAAGTGTATGTCCTGGCTTTTTTTTTTTTGGTACCGGGGACTGAACTTGGGTCCTCGCACTTACGAAGCAGGCAGTGAAACTACTGAGCTAAATCCCCGGCCCTTGTTTCTTTTTGAGACGGTCTCGCTTTGTAACGCAGGCTGGCCTTGAAGTCACTATGTGGTCCAGGCTGGCCTTGAACTCCTGGCGATCCTCCCATCTCAGCCTTCAGAGTGCTGCGGTTACAGGCCTGTACAACCACATCCTGCTCTTGTTTCTTTTGAGGTCCCAGGCTGGCACTAAACTTGATATCCTCCTCCTTCCTCAGCCTCCTAAATAGCTGGGATTGCAGGCATGTGCCAAATCAAAGGGCTAATTTAATTTCTTGTGGTCCTGAGAATGAACCCAGGGCCTTCTGCACACTGAGCATGTGCTCTACCACTGAGCTACATCCCCAGTCCTTTTTCTTTGAGGTGGGGCATTGCTGGGGATTGAATGCAGGGTCTCACATATGCAAGGGAAGTGTTCCACCCTGAGATATATCCCCAGCCCTCCATTTTTTGTTTTTTAAGATATGAGTGTCATTATGTTGCTCAGGCCGGCCTTCTGCCTCAACATCCAAGTAGCTAGGACTGGCAGGCCACCATGCCCAGCTTGCCCCTACTCTGGTTTTTTTGTTTTATTTTTTGGTACCGGGGGATTGAACTCAGGACCTTGTGCTTTCCAGGCAGGCGGCAGAACCACTGAGCTAAATCCCCGGCCCGCTTGCCCCTACTCTTAATAGGGCAATTAACAAAACTGAAATGTGGACTATAGATTAAAAGTATTGTATCAACATTAAATCTATGTTTGCTAACTGCTGTGGTTATGTAAGAGAATACTGATTTTCTTAGGAAATTTATATATGTTGATAAATCAAGAGCTTCAAAATAAGATATATTCACTGAATTTTTAAAATGTCAGGAATATAGAAGAAAAGCATAGCATTGTATAACCAACAGTTTAGGGTCATCATGAACATTATAGAACAATGCAATAAGTGTTTAGGTTCTGCCTGGTTCACAAGACACTTAAACCTTTGGTTTGATTTGGAATTTGCAGGTTGGTTTTGACTCAGAATTTGGGTTTCACTCAAAGGTCAGCATTAGAAGTCATAGCAGGAAGTGGTAGCACACATCTATAATTTCAGCACTTGGGAGCCTGAGGCAGGAGGACTGCCACAAGTTCAAGGTCAGCATGAACTACATAATGAGACATTATCTGAAAAAGACAAAACAATAAATTATATAAAAATAAAAAGTCTTTTCTGCTGGATTTGAGATTCAGGAGAAATCCTACTCTGGAGTCAACCACTGGGCCTAGAGGCTAAGGCTGGAAGGAAGCAGAGCCAGGGCCAGGAGACAGAATCAGTCTTGGGGTTGGTCTGGAGCTGGGAGCTGGGTGAGATAAGGTAGTGTGAAGAACAAGAGCTCACTGGGTGGCCCTTGAACCCCTAGCAAGGTGAACAACCCTGAAGGTGATGGAAGAAAGCAAAGCTTGCTCATAGGCTCTCAAGCCCATTCTCAGAAATTATGAAAGTCAGCCAGGTGTGGTGGTACACTCAGGAGGCTGAGGCAGGAGGTTCCCTGTGTGTTCAAGACCAGCTTGAACTACAAGATAGGATGAGAGCCTAAGTCTTAGACTTCTTAGACAAGCTTAGACAGTTGTCCCTTTATATACCTCTTCTCTGTAGTACACTAATATTTTCATTTTTTAAGGAATCATAATTTTAGCCCTTAAAAGGGCCCTGAAGCCAGGCACGGTGGTGCACGGCTGTCATCCCAGCACTCAAGATGCTGAGGAAGGAGGATCACCAAGAGTTCAAGGCCAGCCTGAACTGTATAGTGAATACCTGTCTCAAAAAAAGAAAACAAAAGCCTTGAACCTCATCGTAAACCCCTCACTGAAGAAAGTAGAAAGTTGAAGCCCAGAAAGCAACATAATGAATGATCTCATTTGCTCATGCCACAAATTACCAGAGCCAATATGACTGTCTGATGTTACAGCTCCAAAACCAGTGCTTTCAACACATGGCTGATCATGTTATTCTTCACCTAAGCCCTGTTCTCTCCAACATAATGGATAAGAAAAGGGAGGTTCAGAGGAGAC